TGAATGATATTATAACTGAACTAAATGACACTGTTTGATTTTAATGCATAGTTAAAATGCTTGTCAATGTATGCATAACGATATGCATGTAGATGGGTGGGAGTGATGGAAGCTGCCACACCTTAATTGTTACAGCATCAATGACTGGGGGTCTGCTTTGAGCAATGGCTTGTTTAAGTTGCTTTGTTTTGATGATTTTTTTTGGTTCTTCTTCGGCAACAGGTAGCCAGGACTGTTCTGTTTATTGGTCATCTTATTGTAGCACTATTTGCAGTAGTATTAATATAAACCCAGGTAAATAATCCTCATTAAATTTTATGTTTAAACATTTTGACAATAGTAGATATTACCGAAGGTTTTTATTTGTACAAAGAAACTTTATGTATGATGCCTGCCTATAAAAAGCTCCAAAATGATTCTACTGTATATTCTTTTGTTCACAATGAATCTCTGTGTAGCAAAGCACTATGGTGTGTATCAAATAGCTCTACAAGTGGTACTGATTTAAGGTGGCGCTTACCAGATTCCAATTCATCATCAGAGACAATAAGATTGTGCTTATGTACATACATTACTAGTAATGGTGTCAGCAATGATATGCAGGGTTGTTATAGTAATAAGGAAGGTGTTCATAAGTGCATTCAAGATGGTGGTAGTAATGGTAGTACTAGTGTTAGCAGTACATTACAGTTTAGACATAGTATATCCAGCTTAAACAGTAATGAAATGTGTTCAACTCAGATGACAGTTACTCAAACTTCATGCACAGCAACTTCAACAGTAACTATGCAAAAAGAGAGCTCTCTTGTTTCTTCATCCTTAATTTCAAATATTAAGTACTCTACCACCTCTTCTATGTCAAGTCCAGATTTTTTAAGCTCTACATTAACATTATCATCATTGTCAACATCCTCAGCATTTTCAATATCAGTATCTACAACAGTGTCCCCTGTACAATTACTATCCACAGTACCCCATTACGCTGGTATTGGTTTATTAGTAGCTACTAACCTACTGACAATCATTGCATTAATCAGTAGCTGTGTCTACATATTCTGCCAGAGGAAAAAATCAAAATTGTAAGTGTTTGTATCATTACAACACTCCTAAATGTAACTATTACTTTTTAGCATCGTAACAGAGAATGAACAAATATCCTTACAAAACACATCTCAAACTGTAGCAACAAGGTATATATAAAATGTAAAAATATACAATAACTGTTATCTTATCAATAGTCACAACACTGAAACTAACCCAACCAGTAACAATAACACTAACATTACTTCTGATACTAACATATACTCCTCAGTTGAAGATGAGGTTGATCATCATCATCATCACCGCCCACCAGCAAGAGTAGCCAGTCAATATGAAGTACCTCTGGACTTATTACAACAAGCACATGTTCCTCTCCCTCCTCCTCCTCCTCTTTATGCTACTCTTGATGATCAACATGATCTTACTCTACCCAACCCTGAGTATATTACTAATACAGCAGTAACAGCACCTAATCCTGGTTATATTACTAATATAACACCTAAGGCTAATCCTGGGTATAGTGCTACTGCTATTAAAGAAGGAAAAGGAGGAGAGAGAGGAGAGGGAGAGAGAAGAGAAGAATTGGATTACAGTTATGCCACTGTTAATAAGTTCCTCAAGAAACCCACTGAGGATACTGAGTATAATAAACTCCAGCATGAATAGCATATACATAGCTGCTTCAGACTGCTTGTGTGTACATATATTGTTGATTTTTATTTTGTATACAACTAAACTATGTCCTCTTTAATTATCATGACTTAGTTTTTCAAAATAAATTCTAGATCTTAATTCTATTTTTAATATGTACATCCAAGGGGACACTCTCCTTCAATGGATGTGTTCAGTTATGGTGTCCTCCTTCTAGAGATGATAACACGACGTATTCCTCTACCAGAAGAGAGAGTAGGTCTTATTGATGGTATTAGAAGAGCCTCGTTTAGGTCTCTTGTTGAACGCTGCCTGATAGTTGAGTATAGACACCGTCCAACAATGAATGATATTATAACTGAACTAAATGACACTGCTTATCAATATACTAGATCTAGATCTATTATTGTTGTTTTTTATTCCTAAGGGTGGAGTTAGCAGATCGATTGCTTGATCTCAGTAGTCTGGAGAAATGACTTCCTTAATTTGCCTTTTGATGATAACTCTGTTTCATCTTTGTGCTTCTTCTGATATGCCTAACTGCAATGCAATGTCATCTTGTGATACCATCTGTATTAGCCAAAGTAAATAAGTTATATAATTTAACTTTTTCAGATATAGATGCAGGTAGCTCTATTAGTTCATATTCAGGTTTTGAAGTGTACAGAAGAAAAATTTGTGGAGGATTTACTTATGAAGAGGTCCAAAATGATTCTACCTTATATTCTTTTCCCAATGAATGCACTCTGTGTAATATAGCGGTATTTTGGTGTGTAGCAAAAACAAATAATGCATTAAATTATGGTACTGATAATGATGATGACATTTCTATAATGTGGCAACTGACTTCAAATTCATTATCAGGGACAATGGAGCTGTGTTTATGTACATACTTTGGTGACAATAAAATAAAGAGTTATTATTATAACAATGAAGGTGTATATCAGTGCATTCAGTCATATGATGGCTCTAACAGTACATTTCAGTTTACACATAGTGTATACAATAGTAATGAGATATGCCCAACTCAGAGTTCATTAATAGCAGTAACTCAAACTTCATGCTTAACTTCAACAATACATTTGCCAAAAAATTGCTCTACTGTATATCTAATGCCCAATTCATCTTATTCAAGTACAGCAACATTACCCCATTACACTGGTATTGGTTTATTAGTAGCTACTAACCTACTGACAATCATTGCATTAATCAGTAGCTGTGTCTACATATTTTGTC